AAATAGCAAAGTTTTAAAAAAGAAGAGTTTGACTTTAGTCTGTAAGAATACCTAACATTTACTGGGCTCAGGACTCACCAAGCCTTTTACATCCATTAACTCATTTAATCATCTCAGCAACCCTAGAAGGTAAAACACGAATTATTCCCAATTCAGAGATGACAACACTGTGCCACAGACCAGTCAAGTACCTTGAGCTTGATCATAGACCAGGTAAGCAGTGGCTTTGATAGCTGCAGCTGAAATGTTCAGCCCTACCATGTAGGTGATTCGGGGTGACCAAAGGCTTCATTAGGACAGCGTTCTATTTCAGCCTCGTTTTAGCAGCAACTGTTGCAATATCAAGGAGGGGCAAGGGAGTGGAGATGTTGGGGTGGAGGTGGAGTCTCTTGCTCCCCCTGCCTGTTTCTTTGCCTGGCTCAGGTAGCCTGGGCTCTGCATCCAGCCAGGCCTCCCTTGCAGCCTGCCCATTGTCAGTCACCTGCCTCGGTGTGGGAGAATGTGTCCCCACAGAGGGGCTGCCTCCCTTCAGCTATGCAGCCCCTTGCCCTTCTCCTCCAGGGGGGAGTTTCAAGCTTGGAGCTTGACTGCAACCTCCTCCTGCCTCCCTTTTTCCCTGGCTGCTTGTCTGAGGCCTGATGGAAGAGATTAGGGGATGGTTGAATGCCCACTAGGAGACAGGCACTGCCTAGAGAACTCTGTTGTTTTCCTCCCCCAGCTTGATCCAAGTCTCAGTCATCCAGACCGGTGCATTTCCCTCACTCTGTTCAAATCAGACCGAATTTGATAGTGCTCTGAGGAGCAGAAGGCACTAACCCTTCCCACCTCAGTGCTACACATCACTAAGGTGGTGCAACCTTTACCCTTGACGTGCTCACATTTACTCAGCCCTTAATTGTCAGGCAGCTTGTTTGCTGTAAAACTGATGGCCTGCTGCACTGTAAAACACAAAATCCTAGAAGTCAGATTCCTGGTTGGTACATTTCCCTGCTTTCCACATTTCATATGTGGCTGATACCTAAAAAGGCTGATAAGGAAAAAAGAGGCTGAGATATACGTGTGGGCAGAAGCAAAGGGAATAGGTGGAATTTCTTTTTTCTTTTAATGAACTTTTATTAAAGTAGAACAGACAAGTAGGAAAGCATACAAGTCATAAGCATTCAGTCTGGTTAATTATCACAAAGTGATCACACTCATGTAACCACACCTCTAGTCAAGAGATTGAACATTCCCAGCATCCCTTTAGCTCCACTTTTACTTCTTTCCAGTCATCTTTCCTCCTCTGCTCAATGCTAAACACTGTCTGGACTTCTAACACCATAAATTATTTTGACCTACTTTGAACTTTACATAAACAGAATATATAGTACATATCACTTTGTAGGTTTGTTCACTATTATGTTTGTGCCTATGTTTGCAATGATGTTGTTGGTTTTAGAAGTAACAATTAATTTCCTTCTTTCCAACCTTTAAATCTTTTCAATTCTTTTTCTTGTCTTATTGTGCTGGCCACAACTGCCAGTACAACACTGAAGAGAAATGTTGAGAGTGGTATCTTGTCACTTTCCTAATTTTAGAAAAAGAAGCTTTTAATAGTTTGTCATTAAATATGATGCTTCCGGAAGGTTTTTGTGGGTGTCCTTTGCTTGGTTAAGGAAATTTCTTTTTATCTATAATTTATTAAGAGTTTTAATCACAAATGTGTGTTGAAACTTAACAAATAATTTTTCTGCATCTGTTAAAATGTTTATATTATTTTTTTCTCCTTTATTTTGGCAATGCAATAAATTACATTGATTATTTTTGAATGGTAGATCAACCTTGCATTTCTAGTCAATTTGGTTGTTACACGTTGTCCTTCGCATATTTTCCTGAATTATTTTTGCTAATTATTTTCTGTATAATTTTCACATCTATGTTCAAAAGATTGTCTTGTATTTCCTTTCTCTAAGAGTATGTTAAGGTCATGAAGTCCTAAGGTCATAAAGTCCTCATAAAATACTTTGGGAAGCTTTTATATGTCGTATTTTTATTCTCATTCAATTCATAATACTTCTTAATTTCCACTACGATTTCTTCTTTGACCTATGGAAATTTAGGTATGTATTGCTTTATTTTCAAATATTTAGAGATTTTCTGGTTATCTGTCTCTTATTGATGCTTAGCTTAATTCTACTGTTGTCAAAAAACATATACTCTATATGATTTTATTCCTTTGTAATTGTTGAGATTTTCTCTATGTCTCAAGATATAATCAATGTGAACTTTTTAAAAAATGTATTCTGCAGATATTGGGTGTAGTTTTATCGATATGTAAATTAGGTCAAGTTTGTAAATCATGTTGTGCTTAATGTTTATATATATATGCTTGTTCTGTCTCTGAGAAAGATATGTTAAAATTTCCCATTCTGATTGTGGATATGTCTATTTCTCCTTTTATGTCTGTTGCATTCACTTAATATGTTTTGAAGCTATGTTATTAAATGTATACAAATTTATAATTAGTATTTCTACCTACCGAACTGAACTTTTCTCATTTATTAAATGCACTCTCTCTAAAAAATTGCCCTTGATTTAGAGTCAACTTTGTATCATATTAGTATGACTACTCCATGTTCCTTTAGTCAGTATCTTCATGATATATCATCTTCATTTTCTTATGCTTAGCTTTTCTATATTCTTGTATTTTAGGCGTATCTCCTATAAACAGCATATGGTTGGGCTTTTTTAAAATCCAGCCTGATAATCATTGTCTTTTAATTATAATGTTTAGTTCATTTATGTTATTTTATATAATAATGTATTTGGGATTAAATCTATTTATACTATTTATTTCAGTATATCCTACCTATTCTGTTTCCTTTCCTCTCACTTCTTATATTCCATTGAACTAATTACATGTTTTTATTTTTTTATTTTCTCCCTCTTTTAGCATATTATACATCCATTTTCTGTTATCTTATGGTTACTAAATGCATCATTTTATATTTTTGTCTTTTATAAATTAATAATTTATTAATTTCCATACAATGCAAGGATCTTAGAAAAATTTACTTCTCCAACTTTTGTGTTATTGTTATTTATTTTAATTCTCTGTATATTAAAAACCCACAGTACACTAATATTTTTGTTTTAGTAGCTTCTGCTTCTCTCTCTAGTTCTTCTTCTGGTAATTCAATACAAGTATGTAAAATCTTTACACTGTATCTCATGTTCTTTATGCTCTTTTCCTCATTTTATTATTTTTTTCTGTTTTTGATTCAGACTGGATATTTTATGCTGATCTCTCTTCCTGTTCACTAATTCTCTTTTTAGCTGTACCTATTCTGCTTTAACCCCATTCGTTGAGTTCTTAATTTCAGTTACTGTAATTTAGGGTAATATTTACTTTGAGAATTTTCATTTGATTCATGTTTAGAGTTTCCAGTACTTTACTGAAATTCTTTATCTTGTCTTGTAATTTTTTGGTCACATTAATCACTGTTTTGTTAAAATTTGTGTCTAATAATTTCAATATGTAGATCTTTTGTGAGTCAGATTTGGGGGTGGGAGGTCATTTGGTCTTACTTCCTGGTATTCCCAGTTATTTTTGTTTAATAACCAGACACCATGCACTTTAACATGTGCAGATAATTTGAGTGTTTAGATAATGCTATTTTCCTTCAGAGGTTACGTACTTCTGCTTCTGGCAAGCAGTTACCAGGGATTAAAGAAATTGAAGTTGGGCTTCAATTTCTATAAGGACTAGATGGTTTGTGGTTCGCCCATAATCCTAGAGTATAACCCTTTTGGAGGAGAGGTCTCTTGTGATTTTTTGGCTATGGCATTCCTGCTTGGTAATCCCTACACTCCAATCTTCCTTCTCCCTACCCCATGAGACAAAAAAACGTTGTTCAGCATCTTTACCTCTCACATGTCTCTGTCTTTTCGTTTCTGAACCTATAATTCATTGCTTGTAAATTGGCAAATGCCTCAAAAGAAAGTGATACCAAATTTTGCGTTCATCCCTCCTTCTTCTGTTCTCTCTGGTGTCTTAGCCACTCAAGTCCTCATTGTGTTGGTTACTGTCTAATACCTCTAAAAATGTAACACTTTGAAAATAACTTTCCCATCTTTTCTAGTTGATGTCAATGAGTTGGTCTGTAATCAGCTATTGTGCCACTACCAAAAGCTGAAAT